TCATATTTGAGAAATTTTCATTATTTTAAATAAATGAAAGAGTAATACTTAAATACAAACTTCAACAACTATTCAATAGTAAAAATTATAAATCAGCATAGTTTTTAAATTGTTTTCTAACTCAAAATCATCTAATAATCGTTAGATTAGTGCTTACTATGTAAGGCTTTGTATTATTAATGAATCAGGTTGGACATATTTGGATCAAATTAACAATCTCAGCTCTAAGCTATCAAATTTAAAATATGAATTAACCTTGACTTGCTTCTAGTGAGATATTCAAATTTTCAGATGATTAGAATTTTGCTATATATAGTTATTAAAGAATTATTCATATTCAGTTGAGGTATAGATCTTCTCTTCAACCACCCAATCTATATGCACACCCTTGGTTTATTAATTATAAAGCAATCGATCATAATCAACATAAAATATATAAGAACTGGATTAAAATTTCACAGTTTTTCTTTACATGAAATTGATTAAAAATCATTCTTTTTCGCATTTTAAATCGATTTATTATATTTATTTTTGCAAAATTCTATTTTTACATAAGTAATTTTAATAATCAATAGCAATCGATTGATAATCTGTCCATTCGAGTTTTGGTGATTGATATTTTAATAGATTGACAAGATTAAATGGAGCTTTTCGTGAAAACCATATTACAAGTGAAATAATCAATATTAATTCGAGGAATAAATTCTTTTCAATAGATTTAGCAATGTTAATAGATTTTAATCAGATGATCGGGAAATAGTGGAGACTTCGTATAAAAATGAGATTTGTACACTGATAAAGAAAAATAATCATAATTTTTCATTTTGAATATTACTCACTGGGACAGATCCCCAATCAATCATTTAGATTCTTATGCTCCTGTACGGCACGTAAGAAAAAACCTAATAAAGCTACTTGATTCATGTACTTTGGAATGACAAAATCGGTGAATATGTATCATCGTCTCCTACGATGCTCAAGCCACGTGGGACAAAACAAGCAAAAGAATGGTAATTTTTTTACTCATCAAAATGCAGTGTCTTGTTTTATTAACGTGTACAGTTTAATGATGTTTCTGGATGAATGAGTTGACGGCTAACGCAATAAACAAAGTAATATATAGACAATATACTGCTTTAGTATCACATAGAGAATGACTTCAAGTCATCTAATTATTACTCTGGGCGAGTACAATAGGTATATTATTTTCTTGTTAATTTTAAATAAATATAAATTACTAGTAATTTATATTTATTTATTTAAAATATCAATTATTTGCACTTCATTTATAATTTTAATAAATTATAAATTAAATTATTTTGTATATTATTCTATTTCTTTTTCGTATGTCATACCAGTTAGATAAACAAGGCAAAAACAACGCGTAAAAGTGCATGGAAACTTAAACGAAAATAAAATCGTTAGAAGTGCACATTTTTACATATTCACAATGGATGAAGGCTTCCTAATAAATATGTATTCGTTGAAATTTCAACGCACTTTTATGCCTTATTCTCCTAACTGAAATGAAATATGGAAAAGAAATATAATAATATAATATAATTTATCATTTATTAAATAATAAATTAAGTTGAAACAATTTATATGTAAAACAAATATAAATTATGATATCTTTATTTATTTTTAGATATGAATTAAAAAAGGAATAATTTATATTTATGTTATATTTAAATTAGTGATAATTTAATTTGCGCATGAATTTAATTGAAAGTAAATATAAACTGACATCCCTAGTAGGCACACATTTTTTTTGTACGAATAAAGTAAGTAAATGTATTTTTTTCGAAAATATAGTCATTTCACAAGGGTTTAGTGATTATAAGTATCGAACGAATTTTTCTGTTCTCAAGTAGTACCACTCACTGTTTATATTGTTTCTTTGATATCATGTGAATTGTGTTTTTGAAGCCAAAGGCTTTTCAAATTCTTCACGAAATGAACATGACTGATAAACTACAGTGATGTTGTCTTTCTAACAAAATGCTAGTAGCATATATGGGTTGCGAGTAAAATAATATAGATGCAAGTGTTTTTGTCTGCCACATCCATGACTACACGACATACACTGACACCTCACTTTTGTACTCTCAAGATATGCAAAAAATAGAGACAAGTCATTTATTGTGACTCACGAGGGAAGGTCCCCAAGTGTGAGTCTCAGTTTTGAATCGGATATATACCAGTTTGTAGAGCTTGATGAGACTATAAGAAGCCTATAAGGATTCGTCCCCATGCGCTGTCCTTCTCAAGTTATGACCACTTTACCTGATTTTCGGCCTTTGGCAAGGTATATGTGAACAAATCGAATCAAAGAATTTTGACCTGAAATTTTGCCTATAGATAGGTCTTATGACCATTATAAAGCTCTAAAAATTTCAGCTCATAAGAATGTTTTCTTCTTTAGATAGTGGATATCCAAAAAACGATCATATATCACAAAGAAAGAACAAAAAATCGACCGTCTTCAACATTCGATATCTCAAGAAGAAAACATTCTTCTGAGCTAAAATTTTTAGAGCTTTCTAATGGCCATAAGACCTATCTATAGGCAAAATTTCAGGTCGAAATTCTTTGATTCGACTTGTTCACATATACCTTGCCAAAGGCCGAAAATCAGGTAAAGTGGTCATAACTTGAGAAGGACAGCGCATGGGGACGAATCCTTATAGGCTTCTTATAGTCTCATCAAGCTCTTCAAACTGGTATATATCCGATTCAAAACTGAGACTCACACTTGGGGACCTTCCCTCGTCAGCCATTTATTTGAAAATGTGAGCGAGAAAAAAATAGGTCTATGAATCGTCAAAGACCAATCCTCGAAACGGCTTTATTAGTTACTGGTGCTTTTAGCAAAGCCAATAGAAGAATCCCAGCAATTGGAAAACTCCTACCATCCGTTGTTATATTGCGATCACAGTGGTGGACAGCATGGACGAGTTTTGAATTCATCACATTTCATGTCCTAAAAATCAAGTCGACGATGGAATAGAACTACTATAATCTCAAAATCAATTCTGAATATAATACTCACACAATAAGTTTAGAATCATTTTGAGTGAGAATATCATTATAGGATAATGAGATGACACTGTTGCTGAGCTAAATCCGTAAGAACACATATCATATTCAGATAAAACTTCTACCGTAGTAGGTCACAGTAAACTAGGGTATGGGTAAAAAGAAGAATCTACACTAACACCCTTTTGTAAAAAAATACAATTAACATAAAAATAACAATGGTCATATTTCCTTATCTGATATAGACGGAATACTTCATTTTATGCATGTGGTTTTTATTGATCCATTGAAAAGACAGTTTCTCAGAAACTCTTCATTAGTTTACTTTCATGTACCTTTCTTTTATTTTAGATAGAAAAACTATTTTTGAGATCATGGATAAATCCAACAACATGCCAACAGGACAAAATGATGAGACACTAACTGAGGAGATCGAAATGCACACTCGTCGTAGAAATTCACGCTTACTAATTCACGATTCTGACGATCTGATAAAACCTATTCCTATCGTCGGTTATGCTCAAGAAGAAATTCTTCCACTTGCTGAAGCATGTACACCTTTGATTCCCATCGTTCATAATATACTGGCATATGTTTCGTTTGCTCTGGAACATACTTCAGATGAACCAGCAGATGGTTTAACTCGTGATGAATCAGCTTCGATCCGTCTTTATACAATAGAATGGACTGGAGAATACAGTAGTTTGTATTCTATTCTGAATGAAACTTTAAGAACATCTGATCGCGAAAACTTACGACCTTGGTTTAAGTACCTCAAACTTTTTCTCAGTGCTTTGGTTAAATTGCCGTGTGCACCTCCACAGACTGTTTGGCGTGGAGTACGAAGGAATACCGTTGATGATTTTCCGAAAGGAGCTCACATAACATGGTGGGCTTTCTCATCAACAACAACATCGTTAGACCTGTTGGAAAACGATCTTTATTTGGGAAAAACAGGAGAAAGAACGATTTTTTCTATTGAAGCTATAAATGGCAGGGATATATGTGCTCATTCAAACTTTAACAACGAGGAAGAAATTCTACTATTGCCAGGAACATATATGGAAGTACAAGCACAATTAAATCCAGCCGCTGAACTGCATATCATTCATTTGAAACAGAAGATACCGAAAGAATTACTACTTGAACCACCATTCGAAGGTATTTAGAATATTTTCAATTGCTTATTTTAAATTCAAATATTTCTTTTTTCAGGTGCAAATATTTATCCAAAACTTGAACAAGTCTCAACTCTTTGTCATCCAACTGAGTATATACATTTGTTCAGATGAAGACCATTTTAAGAAGAAGTTCATTAGAGGATGTAGGATTGCTCGAGTATAAGACGCAATAGTTAGAGTTAGAAGTTTTGCTTTGTTTTAACGTGCATTTGAAAGTGCACAATCTAAAACTACAAAACCCGAATTTTTAGCTCATTTGATTTTTCGATAGTAACATTAGTATAGATCGACTTTTCAGCACTAGTTGCCTAGCTTTGATTCAGAAAATAGTGATAAATGGTTTCATAAATATCTACTAAAAGTATACTTTAACAGGTCACAGAATTTCTTCATGCAATATACCAAAAGATAAAATGTGATAAGTTGCATAGAATAACCTATTTGAAATACTGTATATTATCTATTTATGGAGTTACATTTTTCATTGTCATGACACAATTACAAAGCAAAACTAATGGGTCATTGGAAGTCAGCGTCGAAACCTATATTGAGTCAAATACATTACAAAGGAATAGTTTCCTCCAAAAAACTAACTCATGGAAAGCCATTCAGGCTATATTTTATTCAAGTTATGCTCTGTATTTTCCTAGAGTTTAGGTTTTTGCAGAAAAATAATTTTTCTGAACGGATTTGACTTAGTGTAGGTTTTGATGTTGATTTCCAATGTCACATTTGTTCTGTTTTACAATCCGTGTCATGGCAATGAAAACAACTAAGTAGGAGTATCCGCATTCTCGTTCTCGCGTGTTCTGTTTTCAAGAAACGAAACGCATCTCTCATTCCTTGTGGGTGGGAATATATTATATTTTTCTTTCTATTATGTATGATTTGATAGAGCTGAACAAAAATTGAAGACATAAAATGACTAAAACATAGTACTTGTAGCTAAGAACTTGTTTTTCGTATAGAAACTGTCAAATTTCGATCACATTTATTTTACAAAATTTCTCGAAATAAAACAATGAACATGGGAAACTGAGCAACAAAATGTTTTTTTTTTAATTAGATGTAGAGCTAATACTATTTAAAAAGGCTTATTCAACATAAATATATCTATCACGCTCAAAACAAGTATCTATGAACATTCTGGTATAGACCTATCTAATTTTTTGTAACAAGAGATAGGATCAAGTGGCTTATCTCATTGGAATTACCAGATTGTAAGCTTGAAAAGCACATATTTAATTTTTTTTTAGATTCTGTTTCTTGCTAAGAAAATTGAATTTTTTCCTGTCTGGTGATAAAATAAGGCTAACGGTAGAAAAATGTGACCGTATTCAATAGTTTTTTATATCATGGTCGAGTCAAAAAGCAAAATTAATAACATATGAGAGATCGGTGTCAAAAACAGTGTTAAATTTTATGTACTTAGATGAAAACTGTTTTCTATCGAAAAGGATGCACGTGAGTTGTGAGTGTCGGTGTATTGTTGAATAACCACACCACACTCACATTCTCTTTGTTCTGTAAGAGCAAAAATAACTCATTGGAATGATGAGTTGCTGTCCTTGCAAGAACTAGGATAGTTGCTGGGTACGAGATTAAGATGAAAAGAGAAAGTACTTATCCATATTTTTAAAGTAATATAAGCAGTCTGAGGATCAAATTTATGTGACTAGGTGGTTTTAAAACGCCACTTAGGAAAACATTATCGACCAATTCTTGCGATTTACCCTAGAAGTAGAATACTACAATGGCTGTTTCTGCGAAAAAGGGGTTACGATAATGCTCTAAGTAACAGAGTCACCGACGGAGTTCTATCAAACGAGCTAGACTTCGATCAATTTTGAGATGTTTCTTATATGAAATTAGAGATTTAAATTAGATATATCCAATTGAATTTTTAACGATAATTTTCCATTAGACCTCCACATCGCCGTTGGTATGTCAAGAAGCGCTTTCTCATTACAATGAGCACATTGGTGATTATTTGCATCGTGGGAATCATTCTCGGTTCTGTTTTAGGAACAAGATCTACCACCAGAACGACTGGTATGTACTTTGATGCTCATTTGAAATAGAAGCTAAGCGACGGTTCATGTTGCAAACCTCGATTGTCTGATTTCACTTGCACCAATATAAAGTAGCTTAAAAGTTCATTTTGTAAAGAAAAATTGAATATTTACGCCATAGTTTGATCGTATCTATTGGTCTTTATGACGATGATAAGAGCACTTATAGTGCATATCTATATGAGAAAGGGTAGAAATGAAGGTTCCTTATCTATTGAAATCTCCGTAGTCCAGATTTTGTTGAATATGAAGTATTAAGAGAGTAACACCATTTTTAGTGAACTGTTACTATTGTTAAATTTTGACTGGGTCAGGACATTTTTACAAAGTTTTCATCCATTAGGACCCCAAGTTCAAAATTTTGATCTGAAACATCGCCGAAATCAAGCTCTTCAGTAGACTAGCTGAAGTTTAAATCTATAGAATTTTTAGAGACCGTACTTCCGAGATTTCAATTTTTTTCAGAATTCAAGCGTTTATTCATTGACATTGTAGTCTACTGGATATCTTGGTTTGAACAATGTTTCAGATTAAAATTTTGAAATTAGAGTCCTAATCAACGAAAATTCAATAAAAAATGCAATATCTCAATTTAGTCTAGGAAGATCTTTTGGCAGAAGCATCACTTTTATCAAACTTGTAGAGATGAAGTAGTGATGTATGTGTCGACAGTTTGCAAATTTTTAATCACTTTTTTTTATATGATTTGGTTAACTTGTCGATGGTCTATCAAATTTTATAATATCCAGCGTTGTAACTTCTGACACACATTAGAAGACACACCGAAGTTTTTCACTATGAAGTTCAAAGTTTGGCCAACAATTTAAGGTCTCTATCTTTGAAAATTCAGTATATTTATCGTAGACGATAATCTTTTCGAAAAGAACTGAATTTATTATGAAACCATTCTGCTATTCTCTGTGGAAGGGTGACATTTCACTCAGAAAGATATGGCGAATCTTTTAATGTTAGTTCGTATTTACCATTACTATTGTGTATGTCGTGCAATAAATCGTTGAGAAACTAATAAGACTATTTATCGTGTTACAAATCATTGGTGTTAGTAATTTACTTCTCATATAAACAGTAACGATAATGAAAAAAGTAATTTTCATTGAAACCTATCTAGACCAACTGAAATTGCAAATATCTGAAATAAGTTATTTTATATACAAATATAGATCGTCACAGACACATTTTCTTATGGAACCCATTAAAAAAAATCTAGGTTTTTAGTGAGTCATAGAACTATTCTTTTCCTGTTTCGTGATGTACAAACTTTTCTAGAGAATTCAACGACGATTGTCTGCCCGTCAAACACGTCCAACATATGTGCCTTTTCAACAAGCCATACAATGACATCAGATGGCTATTATGGCACCGAGCTTCTCACTATAAACTGTAGCACCCCACTATCAAATATCACTGTTATATTTACAGTTCAAAAGACAGTCAGTGCTACTTTTGCACAGCAATACAATTCATTTACACCTAATCTTGAGCAGTCTCATGTAGAAACGAGCTCACAAATATTTTACAAGTGGGTTTCTGCCAGCGGAGAAACATTTTTTACGAATGTGGATGAAAGCTACACAGAAGCACAATTTGACTTACAAGGTATAAACCAAACATTAGTCAATGATATTTATTATTTTACTGCAGAAATGACATGTAACGGTCAACTAATTAATGCAACAGGACATTTTTAGAAAACTGTTAATGCATTTGATTGTAAAATTTACATTAATTCTATTTTTGTTCATGCAAAACAGGCATACAAAAAAGACTTTGGCTATGGATGTTGGTAGGTGTTAGTAACGTCATGTATATGTACTGTATAGATAGACAATCGCTTGAAATATGAGCGTGGAAAAGTTTCGTTTCAGCGTTTCTTGGACTTCATCAAATTCTTGGATAAAAAATAAAATATACATAAGATAAAAACTATATAATTCGATAGAGTAATTGATGTTCTATCCGACTACATTAAAATAAAAAATTTCCGATGTTTTGCCTAAATACGGTAAACTATACAAAACTCACAGAAATAACGTTATTAAACTGTATAGAGATATGCTTAAAATGATCCTTAGTATAAAGAAAACACTGACATTACAGTTTATTTGTTAGATGAAAATAAAAATTGTCATCATGCATTTATTTCTTTGTATTAGAGACCATAAACGAGTATTCTAAAATTTGCACATAATATTACTATACTTAATCCATATATTGAATCATAGCATGGATTAACAAGTAGAATTCATGTAAAGAGATCGAGATAAGAGGTAAGAAGATATAACATTTATATAGTGATTTTATATATGTTTAAAGAAAATTTTCATAAATTAGATGAAATCAAAAGAGCATATTGTGCAATTCAATATGAATAATAAAACAAATGATTGTCTATTATTTCACATAAGCTTTCATAGAATAATTTGTTTCGTTCATATCACACAGAAGAAAAAAAAAACACAAAGGAAGTCTATGAAGTGATCCAGATGTCTATGTCTTCTAAGCGGCATCGATATGCTTCCATAATGAACAAATTTTTTTCCTATAAAATAATGAATCGAGATAAAACATATAAAATCAAACTCTTATAAAAAGATATTTATTCGTTCATGTATTAACATTTAATATAAGCTATTATAGGTTTCATCTCCTTGTATCTTTTTTGTATAATCGCACATATATATATATATACATACACATGTGCAATTTCATGCTTGAATTAACTTGTATCATCGGTAATATAAAACAATATCTGGCGTGAGGTCAGACAATTTAATCGATTATTTTATTCGATCTGATAAAATAAATTCGGTTTAGTTTCTATTTAGATTTTTCAGTATGATATTATCTTAGACTGTCAATTAACTATCAAGAAATTGTTTCTTTTCTATGTTTTCT